ACCAACTAATCTCAATATGTAGTTCAAAAAATATAACACAATTGATTAAAACATAAAACTAATCTCAATATGTAGTTCAAAAAATATAACACAATTGATTAAAACATAAAACTTCAGCAAAGTCACAGTAGTTTACTTTACTGCAATCACTATGGTTTATTCAAACCACTCTATTTACAATTAATTATTATTATTTTCGGACACAAGTGGGTTAAAATCTGAAAGCCACTCCCGACGTGTACTATGCTCTAAGCAACTTAACCATAATTAAATATAACGGTGACTCCTCATTCTAATTAAAACTAATAAAAATTCATAACTTGAAAAAAAAAATCCTCTAGTTAACTATTGTTACTACTTGTTTAATAGCAGGTAAGTGGTTAGTAATAATTAGTTAGCTAGTTTGTGTCAATTGTTGGTTATTTAAAAAAAACTTCATGAGTAACTTAATTGGAATTTTTCACCCAAATAACCATTTTTCCACACAAATATTTCCAATCTACCCATCATTTCAATTTATTTTCCAATCTACCATAGTTTGGTTTTTTTTATAATTTTTTTTACAAGGGGGCGCCATGGGGGATGGAGCCTCCCTTATAACTTGTATGAGGGCGCCATGGGGGTTGGAGTCACCCTACAAATTATAAAGGGGGCGCCATACCCATTGGAGCCTCCCTTAAATGCCCTAAAGGGGGGCGCCATCCCCTATGGAGCCTCCTTGTAAACGAAATTAATTTTTTAAATATATTATAATTAATATAAATAAAATATTATATTATGGTTTTCCAAATTTTTTTTTATAAATAGGTAGACATGTTGCTAACATTGTTTCATCCAAATTTAGAAGAGTGAGTCATGTTCCTTAGAAGATATGGGCATGTAATTTTTTCTCCGACGAAGCCTCCGATAAGAATGTTGTTTTGGAACATTCAGAGTTTAGAACAACTACGAAGAAATTTGAATCGGTGGCTAGAAGGAGACATTCCAAATGGTCAAAGAATCAGGAGTATTGAAAGACTTGTCTCGTACTTCTCTGTTGAAGACGGAAACATACGACGTGACTGAGTGCGAATTAGAGATGACAATGAAGTTAGGTCTATGATGTTCGGAACTGATGATATTACTTTGATTGTTGTTATATCTTAGGTTATGTTGTAATAATCGTTGTATTTTAATGATTTGCGTTTTATGCTGTAGAAGTAATTCAATTCGGTTTTGTGGTAATGAAAAGTTGATATAAATATTAAATTGCACGATTACACAAATTTTAAAGACCAAATTAAATCTACCTAGAACTTGTTCCAACATTTGGACAGTTTTTCCTCGTATGCCCTGGAAGACGACATATTCCGCACAGTCTTTCCATTTTCTCAGCTGTATCCATTTCAGTTGTGATTCGGGTGCTTTTGGGGCGGCCCTTTTTGTTTCTTCTCATATTTTCATTGTGGTAGATTGTGTCTCCATGATAGGTTGGCCAGTAGTCCTCACTAGCTACCACTGGAAAACTGCTACTGTAGATACCGAATAAGTTGACGACCTTGTAAACTTCTGATAGCTGCAAGAATGGATTCTGACGAGCAGTTGAACATGCGGCAATGACATGTGAACAAGGCATGCGGAAGGTTTGAAACTTTCCGCAGTCGCACCAATTTTTATGAAGTTCCACCCTGTAGTGTCCCATTGGCCGACCCTCGTTGTGATCCACTGTCTCATCCACAATGAAGTTGTAATCGTGACGATCAAATGGTCTAACTCGATGTGAGGCCGCCTTAGAAGTTTCATCCTTCATATACTTCATGCTTGATTCGCTGAATATTTGCCCTGATTGCAGTACAGCGCTCCATTTTTTGCCTCTTGCTGCAAATAGTGACCCCAATCTGTAATACGTTGCCCTTACCAACGCTGTGATGGGGAGGTTCCTAGTTCCCTTAAATACGCCGTTTAGGGATTCTACAAGATTTGTGGTCATGTGACCCCATCTACACCCTCCATCAAATGACCTAGTCCATTTCTCGACTGGAATATTATCCACCCACCTTAATGCTTCCGCGCTTGACAACCTTATTTCTTCTCGGTAATACATGAATGATGGTTGGTTTAAGGCATACGCAGCGTTCACAACTTTTTTACGGAGGTTTCTGTCTTTAATGTCCCGCATAAAATTCTGAGCAATGTGTCTTATGCAGAAGACATGGACAGAAGGAGGGTTGTGCCAACCATTAGCAGGATTGTTGTAGGCGCTCACAATAGAAGCATGTCTGTCAAAAATCAGACATAAGTTGGGTTATGGTGCGACATGTGTTCTGAGGTTTCTGAGGAAGAAACTCCAAGCTTCGCCTGTCTCACCCTCGACCAGGGCAAAGGCAATCGGAAATATATTATTATTTCCGTCTTGTGCTACCGCCATCAACAATGTTCCTTTGTATTTTCCATACAACCATGTTCCATCGACTTGTATAACTGGTTTGCAGAATGCAAAACCTTTGATACATGGTTGAAATGCCCAAAAGAGGCGAGAAAATATCCTACTTCCAGCAACACATGTTCCTTTACAATCTTGGGGTTGGTCAAGAATGACCAATCTAGCATCTATCCAACAAAATCAGTTTGAATTCCCATTCGCTAGAAGGTAATTATTTTTTCCAATTCTCATTCATCTATCAAAGTGTTTTTATTTATTAAGCATATTATTAATAAATTTTATTGTTTTCGATTTGTATGTGGTCTTCGCTTGGAATGAATTATGACAATTGTCCCCACTTCAGTATAACGCAGTACCGCAATCTTATTGATCACTTGGCGCAAGAAGATGTAAACTCACTCACCTACCTATTAATGTTATACTCTCCTTGAATATTATTAGAAAATACTAAACTTTTTTTTTTCATCCTTCAGTTCATTTGGCGGTCGTATCTTGGTCTAGAAGCATTTCATCAAGTTGAACGACAAGATTCTGCGGTGTGGAGTGCAAAGGTGCCCATTATCAACTTCACCACCTTCGAAATGCACAACAGTGATCGTGTGAAACTTCAATTTGGAATGCTTCAAGATATTCCATGTCCCCTAAAGTGCATACCAGACAAATATCACAACGGTAAAGTCTCCGACCAATGGGAATATAATCCGTGGACCAAGTATGCAAAACACGAGTGTCGTGAATGGAGGCATCGCACCAACTATGTTTTGTCCGACAATGTGTTTCCATACGAGATGAAACAATCTATACAATACATGACTTGGTATAAGTCTGTATCAATTGGTTTCATTTCACATCCAAGGTATCTTAATGACCCACGCCAACAAGATTCATCATCAAGGCCCCAACAACCAACCCAGCCCTATTTCCAACCGCCAACCCAACCTCAATGCCAACCATCAACCCAATACTATTTCCAACCGCCAACCCAACCCCATTTCCAACCGCCATCCCAACCCCATTTCCAACCCCCAACCCAACCCTATTTCCAACCCCCACTTACGCAATCACAGCCATATGAACATACTCCTAACCAATTCACTCCATTCACACAAACTCATTCACAATCCGAATACCAACAACATCCACCACAATACCACACATACTCCCAGTTTCAAACACCCAATCAACCAATACCCACTCAATCATTTACACCCATCCCACCCTACGATCAGGCAGGCTATCGTCCTGACATTGCCTCGTCTAGCCAACCACCCCAAACTAACTATGAAGGCATGGGCAACTCTTTTGATTTGGATGACTTTACGGATATGGATCCGTCTGCATGGGCCGAAGTGATGCAAATGCTTGATGACGACACAGTGGACCCGACTCCACCACAAAGACCACCAAGAAACGTGCGTAATCGAGGATGCGGTACGTGCGGACATTTAAATCGACCGAGTCGTAGAAATTAGTGTACAAGATCTTTCAAATGTAGCAATTTGTATGTGATTAAATTTATTTAATCCAAATTCATTTTTATTTGTTGTTTAGAATTTATTAATGAAAATATTAGTTATTATTTATTTATAAATTGTTAAAAATATGAAAATATTAATTATTATTATTTATTTACAAAATTATTATTTTTAAAAAAATTTTAATTTATTAAAAATTATTTATTAAATATTTTTAAATTAATTAAACATTAAAAATATTTTTTAATTTTCGTTTAAGGGAGACTCCAATGGGTATGACGCCCCGTTTATAATTTATAGGGTGGCTCCAACTCCCATGGCGCCCCCATACAAGTTATAAGGGAGGCTCCATCCCCCATGCCCCCTTGTAAAAAAAATTAAAAAAAAACCCAAACTAGGGTAGATTGAAAAATAAATTAAAATGATGGGTAGATTGGAAATATTTGTGTGGAAAGATGGTTATTTGGGTGAAAAATTCACTTAATTGCATATAAAAAGATTGATATTTACAAATGGTCCAAATAAATTATACTATAATAATTCTAGAAAGATAATATAACTAAACATAAAGACAACTTTTATTATGAATTTATACAATTTCAGGATCACATAAAGAAGGGTTAACAAATGAAAAAGCTAGTCAAAGTTTATACATATGATGCGCATATTATATTTACCAAATGACAATTAAACTTCAATATATACTCATTGCTGCATCTGAAACATTGCATGTCACCACAATATCCTCACATAAACAAGTTGAACAATGTACTTCTGGTGCATATGGCCATTGTTTTAGTAAGAATATTCACTATATCTACAATATAGATGACATTAACAAAAAATAAAATTTAGTTTATTATTGACTTCGCAGTCAACTTATAAATAAATAATGGCGAAGAAAAAAATATGGTGATCCAGATTTAAATTCAGGATTCTGACATAAAATATTTGTTATAGATCATATGCGTCTTTTCAATAAAATTTATAATGGTTATGTTATGATTGCTATCAGTTACTAGTTGATGCAAAATAAACTACTGAAGCTAACTATGACCCTTAAAAAAATACTCTCTTAATAGAACAAACTGTAAATTTTCACTTCATTTTCTTCCTGAGGAAGCTTGAACATTATCTTCTTTCTTCAAGCATTTGTTTGATTCTTCATTTTCAATGAGACTGATGCAATATACGCGGGATCCAATATGATTTACTTCTAGACCAGCTTTTTCACAACCGTCGAAGAAAATTGATTCATCTTCCTTTCCAATTCTACGTCTCCAGCTCATCAGAAAAGCTGGCCAAGGCAACACTACATCTCCTGCAAGCGCAAGAATGGGTAAGAGTGGCATCTTGAGTTACTATAAAAGAAAGATGTTTAAAGGGTCTCTATTAAGATACCATTGGTGTCATCATTCCCGGTTCGAGAAACTGTAGTCATATCTCTAGGTTTGTAACTTTTGAGAAGAAATGTAATTGTCTGTATCAAATTGGGGTACTGCTTCACATCTACAAACATTTAAAATGAGAGAGAAATTAGTTAGCAGCCGTTTCCACCTGTAAAAAATTTATTATTCTGTGAAAGAAAGGAAAGATGAAAGGACACCATAAGAGAAGTGTTATTAATGCAAGAAATATTACTGTTAGTTTTACTGGTTTTAGACCAACAACAACTTAGACTATTCATTAATGGATAAATTGCATTAATTATAATGAACAAGTGTTATCGATAGTGGACAGCGGACAGCACACAATGGCAAAGAGCCAAAAATCCAACATATGACATGTATGGCGCCGCCATCCTTCACAAATATGGCCATGGCAGAGAGCCTAAAAATCGCCACCGATATCTGTCATGACTGATATTTTACAACACTGATGAACTAATGCTTCTTTAAGAAGGTAGAGGGGTGACTAAGAAAGTAAATTAGAAGATAATAATCTTACATAATAAGATGTCACTCGCAATGATCAGGTCCCAATCAGGGTCAGAATTAGGAAACTTGTCTCCCCAGGTATCTGAAAACACAAGCACATTTAGTAAATCTAGAAGAAAAAATAATATGAGACTAAATTGTAAGAAAATACTACATTAACCGAAATAGAATTAGAGGAAATATATAAGTCTAAACAAGCAAATATTTACATTATGTACTACATTAGTTCTGAAAGTAATCATCTCCAAAACTAGAGCTAGTCACACTGATCAACCTAAGTGTGAGTGTAATACTATCTGAATACTAAATATCATCCATGTTCTTATTTCTAACAACTCATTGTACGTGCTTAGTTATTATAACAACCTTTCTCAAGTTAGAGCGTACACGTCATATGTGCCAAACATATTAAAACCAAGTTATCGCACAGCCCTCTTAGGAGTTAACAAACATATTCGCAACCTGGTTGCTACACTTAACAAACTTGTAGGGTCTGTTTGATTAGCAAAAGAAATAAGGTACTTGACAGGACAAAAACATTTGGTATTTTTATTGGAAAAGGGACAATTAGTATCTATCATTTTGAGCAACAAAAATGATTAGATCATTTGAAGAAATACTCACGTTTAATATGAGGAATGACAGGTAAATCATTTGCACTACAGTTATGAGCTATGTTTTCCATTATCTCTTGATCATCGTAGTCTGAAGTTGTAATATCAATATTATATGATTTTTGAAGAAATATGGCCAAAGCACCTGTACCACTGAAAATGGATGCAGCAAGGCGAAGACAAGAAATGAAATCAAAATTCCTAAATTAAAAGGGCAACTGCAAAGTATCTGAAATTATATAAAATAGAAGAGCTCATTTTCTTTAAGCGGGATATTTTGATGTACTGGAGAGGGGGCACTTACAAAGTTTTACAAAAGAATTTTACATACTTTGCAAACTATAGCTTATATAAATAAATGGATGTGTGAGTAATTGAAATACCTCCCCAACTCAAGAATACGCCGTCCTTCAATGCATGATTTGTGTTGAACTAACCATTCTGCAAATGCAAAAGTTCCAGGCCAAAGCAAATTAGCATTCAATTGATGAAAGGAAAACTCTCGGATAATCAACTCCTGCATAAAAGATAAAGGCATATAGTGGCTCATACAAATACAATATTGATGCTAACAAAACCCCAAGCACAAGAAGAATTGAAGTTTATAAATGTTTAATGTAATGTCAAGGGAATTCGTGGAACTAATGTCTAACAGAAACACTATCACAGGCAAAATGACCATCTCAAGTTCTTGACAGAAACAACAAGTGCAAACGGCATCTATTGGCTAAAAAAAATAGGAATTCATACACATTAAGTACACTGGAAAAAACTACAATCTAATACCATGTCAAATAATTTGATCCAATAGTAAGGCCGACTTAGTGATTGTTGGATCTTAACATTCCACCGTGTTTCACCTTCCTAGCACCCACACAACATGATTGTGCACTAGTCCTTTGACTACTCTCAGGTTAACAAAACAATGCAATATCATTCTTCCGCAAGCACGTCATATCAGCATATTATTGAAAGCTTCTATTTCTTGTATTTGAACACTAGACATTACGACTCTACTTTAATTATAGCCTAAATTAAGATATTAGAAAAGTTGTAATGATAATGATGGCGTCTTTAGTTTTATTCCTTTACTCTGATACATAGCAAGCAAGTGAATACTCTTCAATTTACTTCATTTGATTTCAACCCAACCAGTACACCAAACTTTCTGAAAAATGGATAGGTTGTTTAAAAATGTTTGCAACACTAAGATCTTAATAAGAGAACGACTACTTTTCTAAAACTTTAGAAACCATACATAGTTGGTGATCTCTCTTGATATTAATTCAGCAAAACTACACACTAGCTTCACAAAATTTCATCTCCCCATGGTAAAACACATCATCAACAACAACAACAACAACCATGCCTTATTCTGCTAAGATGAGTCGGTTATAAAGATCAACTTTCAACGTAATGTTCTATCCATGATTATGCTTCTATCCAAATCGTTAATCTCGAGATCTATCCAAGACCATGGTAAAACACATCAGCTCAAAATTTCACATTCCATAACCCATATCAAATTGCATTTCAACTGAGGCAGCATTACAATCAAGGTAAAGATCTCCAACCATAATCCAAACTACATTGGGGATTACTCCACAACAGTGATCCAAATCACATCAACCACAACACATACCATATTGCATTTCCATGAGGACAAATTACAGCCAAGGTTTTAACTAAAGGTCTACGACCACAGTCTGGATTTCAACATCCCAGTTTTCTCTACAACTGCAGTGCAATTGTGATACGTTTGTCTCAACTACATTTCACCGCAATTCTCTACAATACCAAACATCTCAGTACAACCTTTACCGCAATTCAAAACTGTCATCACAATCTCATTTTTCCTCTATCAACAAGACTCTAATAGTATGCAACACAAGCATAAATAACATGGATTTGAATTCCAAACTCAACTCCAGTAAAGTGAACCCTAAGGCCTAAACAAAGTGCCACATCAAGCAATTAAGCTAAATCCTTGAAATTGCACTCCCCAAAACAAAACCCACATGATGAATATGATGATAAAGTAGAAATTGAAGATGTTATTGAAGACAGAAGGTTTACCATTCCTGGAAACTGATGCTTCCTCTCAACATAGGTTTCGTGGTTCTCTCCGTTTTCCTCAACTACATTCAGAAAAAGAAATTGTCAATGGAAGAAATAAGAAGCATAGATAGAGAGATAGAGAGAGGGAGAGAAGTACCGCTGGTGTGGGCGTCGTCATCTTCTTCTCCGAAGAAGAGGGATGATGGAGAGAAGATAGCTATGTCCATTTGTTATGCCAAACAGTGTTACAAGCTCTCGAATTCAATTTAGCGTCTCTTTGGTCACGAGTTTTTGGAGGGGGAATGGAAAATGAGTGATTTTAGAATTTGCTTTACACTAATTGAAAATCTTAGTCTTTCCCAATCTTATTTTATGATGTTAATGAAACACTAATTTTTTTTAATAAAGATAATTTCTTACCTTTCTTTTTCGAATAAGTTATTTTATTTTAATCGTGTTGATCTTCAAATCGTTGGAACAAAGAACTACAAAGATGGTGATTTCTAACGTGGAGAGTGAGAGAGAATGAGATAGAGTGATTATTAAGAGTAAAAATATGGTGATCAATCATTAGTGAGATATTTAAAAGGTATTATTGAGTGAGGTACAAGTAATAAACAAAAAATTAGAAAATCATATATTTGTAATTGATTACAGATAGAGTGTAATTGGTTACTGAGCGATTGTGTTTCTACTGCAACCGGTCATAGATATGTTGTAACCGATTACATTAACATTCTGAATCTTTTTAAAAGTGGATGTAACGGTTACAACTCCACAATAATCGATTACAGGAACGCGGATTACATTTTTTTTCACTTAACATACCACCTTAATTCATGTTATTAAAGTCTTCCATGCTCATATGCTTCTTCAATCTTTTGAATACTTCAACCAATCATCCTTTGGTCAGTAAATCGGTCACTTAGTCTTCACTTTTACAATACCTCAACCTCAATCTTCCTTAACTAACAAACTCTCTCGAGTAGTAAAACCTCATCTCAATATGTTTTCTTCTCCCATGTGTAATGGGATTCTTAACAAGATTTATAGTAGAAACGTTATCAACCATGAACATTACATCATCACCCTTTTCACTACATCAACCATGGACCTCTTCACTTGACCCTTTCAAAGAACATCTTTCATTTTCATGTCCTTCTCCACAAAAGTCACACCTAAGTGCTTGCACCGGGCTCACGCTAGCTTTAAATAAGTAGCTTTCAACTAGCTAGTTATTTAAAATTCAATTTGAGCTAACAATGCAGTTTGAGTATCAAAAGTTACTCATTCAAGCACATCTTTTCAACTAGATCCTTGACTTGTGGTTCAATCATTTGTCTAATCGTGCCCCCCGCAGAAGTTTCTAGCAACATACGTGTCTGACTCTTCAGGCCTTTAATGAAACTTTGCATTTGCCCTATGTTATTCAGATTATGATTCGGGCACCTGCATAACAATAATTTGAATCTCTCACATGAGTCATACAGGGACTTCATATCTTGTTGCTCAAAGTTTAAAATTTTAGCCCTTCTCGCAGTAAACTGATTGGTAGTGAAAAATATTTTTAGGAACTTATCATTTAGCTCTTTCCATGTCTGAATGGTTCCATTTAGAATGCATAGTAACCAATCTTTTGCCCTTCCAATGAGTGCGAAACCGAACAATCATAACTACACTTAGTCCTCTGTGACATTATCTGGTTTACACATTAAAGCGGTTTCGTAGAAGCGTGCAAGATGAGACCAAGGATCTTTGATAGCTTTCCCGTCGAACGGATTATCTCTTAGAACTGAAATTTTCTTGAAATTTTCTTGTTTATCATAGTGCCACCAAGGTATTTTCTGTTTGTATATGCGTAGCTCAGGATCAATATTACTACCATTTGATCCAGAAATTGAAAGGACCGCACGTGCTCTTAGAAAAACAGCTAGAGAAGCAATTCTAGATTAGGGTGACCAACCAGAAGTAGATCCACCACTGTTCTTTTCGGACACTGAAGAAGAGGATAACATGGTAGCACCACCACTCTAAACCATGAGTGATTACTGTAAAAGGAACGACGACAACATAAGCAGGATTAGGCGATGTACAAAAATGTTAATTCCCTATGACATTACTCAGGGTCTCATATCCCTAGACAACTAACGTAAGTAGAACAATTACCCTAAGTCCAACACATAAATTAAGGGTCAATAATCCTTATGTGTCCAATATCAGGTTAACATAGCATCTTAAATAAAAAGCATTAAGGTTAAGAAACAACTGAATAAAATTATAATTCAAAGGGTTCATACAAAGTCAAACCAACATATAATTCCAACAAGATTGAATAAGGTTCATCATAACACAACCTAACTTTAAGGAGCTTATCTACTCATAATTCAGACAACAATACCACAATTGATAGATGAAAATAATATGAGAAATCACTTGAAGTAATGGTCTTCAATGACTTCAAATGCCCTAAAAATCACCATGGAATGCTTTCAAACTCGTGTTTTGCTCTCCAAAATTCGTAACCCTTGTCAAAATGCTAAAAAAAATCCCCTTAAAAAGCACTTAGAATGAGTTAGAACGCGTCAGAAAAAGCCTAGAAAAGTGCCCATCGAGGATATTATACATGCATCTTGCGCGTGATGTAACTTATTCATCCTTATCGTGTACACGATGGCACGTGTGATTATTTCAATAATTGCTTTAAAAAACACCCTTTTCACCCGAATTTTAACTAAGTCTCATTCTTCCATACTTGGCTATTTTTCACTAATTCTTTGATCTTTCTTCTTCCTTTTGTCTCATCTTTTGCTTGTTTTTCTCCGACTATTCTCCCAATTTCATGCAATGACGGACTGTAATCAGCAACTAACTTTTAACTAACTGGGGACCGCTTTTTCCACTATGTATAGAGATATCGAGTGTATTCGATAATGGAACCCTATGTTTAGTTTTAGTCATGGCCTTCGAACACTTAATTGTGATGATGATGTGTTGCAACTTATTAAAGATGTTGATGGTTGTGAGATAATAGATTTGTATGTTGAACTAACATTATAGACAAGGCAGAAATAGGGCATGATATAACTTCAAATGATGATAAAGTTCATTGTACTGGTGAGAAATATGTGTCTAACTGTGCTTTTATAATGAGTGGTATATCAGGGCCTATTGGGATATTGGGAAGTTGGGAAGGTAGATTTTAGTGTAAGGCATTTGTCTTCTTCCACAAGCTTATTTTCTACCTCATGGCAATACAATAGTGGTCAATAGTGTGTTGGAACTGACACCCGTCAGGTCTGTCTTTTTTCACCAGTCCATTGTTTGCTAGATTTGCTGTTTTAAGGTATGTTTTTTCTGTTTCTCATTCTTATTTTTCACCTTTATCCAAAAAAACAGTGTTCTACATACTCGGCTAATCCTTCGTCAGAGAAAACTTGGACCATGCGTACTACCTTTCTAGAACATGTTGTTGCCCTTGCTACTATTGTTTGATCTTGGATCTGTTATATTTCTGACGTGTTTCTAACCTTCATTTTGAAACCTTTGCCATATTAATTGTTTCCGTGGCATGGGTTGCTCATATCATTATCTATCTATTAATTGATCCACCCACCATTTAATTCTATGTCCCATACTCAAATTTTGGGCGTGAGAGATGGTGTTAAAGAGTCTCACATCACACAATATATGTTCTGAACAAGTACTACTAGGGTCCTTATACTTTATTGAAAGATTCATCATAAGGTCATGAAAGATTGCATCACTGCAATTTTACAAACTTTTGAAAATTGAAAGGCATGCATTATCATATTTCATGATTGCATACCATTTGATAATATAACATCAAATAAAAATCCTAATTAATAGAAGCACGGCACTTTATTTTCTTAATTGAAATTATTGATGATGTTTTGTGACTGCTGTCTCTTCAAATTGATGACCATTTGATGGCTTGGGAATGCACAAAGCTCTTTCCCATTCAAAATTTTTCTGGAAGCTCCAGTTGGAGATATTTACAGTAGTCTTTTCATCCACAGCAACAGGATCATATGGTGAATCTTCTGCAAATTCATTTGGCATTGATTTCCAGTGTAGATTCGGTTCCCAATCCGATTCTTCGAGGACTTTCAATATCTCTTTTACTACTATCTTGCTCCCCTCGCCTGATAAATGAATTCCATCCCTATCAAACACCACGCGATCAGATGTGTAACAAACATATTTGAACTTTTTCATCAGGTATGTGATTATAGTTTTAAATTGCGGTTGCAGTCAAATAATGTTGAGGCCGCGTCATAATCAATACTTACGTGAAGCAAACATCTGACCAATCGTCCCTTTGCTGAAGTGCCGACCAGAGGTCAATGGCCTTGACATTCATCTCATGGCACAGCTTCAAACATGCTTCTGAGTAAACTCTACATGTTTCATTTGTTCTCTTTAATGGCCCAAATACATTACTGTTTTAAGATCAATAATTTGTTCATTAGACTTTTATGATTGAAACCTCCATTGAATAATATCAGGTAATAAGTATGAGTGAACCAGAATCCATTTCAATCAGTACCTGAATGCTTCCTGAATCTGCGCCTCGTTGACCGGAGGAGAACCGAGCAATATTATGCGAGTCTTCTTAGACAGACTCTGCAACCATTAGTAATAGTCAAATATTGTTGGTATTTTTTTAGTATGTAGACAAAGTGACACTAACCGCCAGAAAGCTAGACACAACCGTGAGTATCAGAGTTCGAAAGGGAGAATAATTCAGTTTTATCTTTATTAACATATGATACTAAGAGGGGAAAAAAAGAGAGAAAAGTGATAGAGTGGAATTCAACCTTAAGATGAGTAATAATCTTCCTCATATTTTCAATGTATTCTTCAAGGGGTACATGAGGACCAAGACCAGATGTATGTGGATGAATAGAATCATTACCACCAAAGTACACAATAACCAACGATGGTTGCTCAGCTGCATTCTGAGTTGAAGTTGACAAAGAAAATGGTGATTCCTTTAAGTATGAGGAATCAAACATAAGCATTTAAGTCATGATTAATACCTTAGGAAATATTGTATCAAGAACCTGCAAAGCCCGTCTTGAATTCCAGCCAGAATATCCTCTCAAAATTATATCTGCCTATGTAAAGTTCAATGTGTGACAAGTTAAACTCATTAACCATCATAATAGATTAACTCACATGAAGATAAAGAACTGTTCCATTGCATGCAATCCTGTTCATGAAGATAAAGAACTCAACAGATCTTCCAAGTCCATACTTCCCATGAACAAGATATTGATATTGAGAATTGTGAAATCAGATAAAAAAAGTAGAAAAGTATGAACAAGAAAAACATGGAGATATATGTAAGTAATTGTACCTTTCTAGAATACAGGTTAGTAAGAATAGCTCCCCAACCTTCATCACTATAACTAAGTTGAACAATGGAAGAACCAAACAGAACAATTTGAGGTCTTATTGGTCCTACCATCTTTCACTTCCACAACCAAAGATTTCCCAAAAATATTCTTAACTTATAGACTTAGATTTTGTGTTTTCTTTTTTCTTCTTTTGCATTATCTTGTAAAGATAAGCTACCACAACACTGTTACATTTTTAATGTTTCTTTTGTTGTTTCTATCTTCAATGTCAACATCATTTGCTGTTTGGCACCAACTGTAAATTGTAGTAGAATTTGGATGGAAAGTGTATGGTGTAGATACATATGATATCACTTTCATTTTCATCTTTATATACTATTCATTTTCATCTTTATACAGTTAGTTGGACTGAACATTATAAAAATAATATGCTCAATACATTATTATTATTATTATTATTATTATTATTATTATTATTATTATTATTATTATTATTATTATTATTATTATTATTATTATTATTATTATTATTATTATTATTATTATTATTATTATTATTATTATTATTATTATTATTATTATTATTATTATTATTATTATTATTATTATTATTATTATTATTATTATTATTATTATTATTATTATTATTATTATTATTATTATTATTATTATTATTATTATTATTATTATTATTATTATTATTATTATTATTATTATTATTATTATTATTATTATTATTATTATTATTATTATTATTATTATTATTATTATTATTATTATTATTATTATTATTATTATTATTATTATTATTATTATTATTATTATTATTATTATTATTATTATTATTATTATTATTATTATTATTATTATTATTATTATTATTATTATTATTATTATTATTATTATTATTATTATTATTATTATTATTATTATTATTATTATTATTATTATTATTATTATTATTATTATTATTATTATTATTATTATTATTATTATTATTATTATTATTATTATTATTATTATTATTATTATTATTATTATTATTATTATTATTATTATTATTATTATTATTATTATTATTATTATTATTATTATTATTATTATTATTATTATTATTATTATTATTATTATTATTATTATTATTATTATTATTATTATTATTATTATTATTATTATTATTATTATTATTATTATTATTATTATTATTATTATTATTATTATTATTATTATTATTATTATTATTATTATTATTATTATTATTATTATTATTATTATTATTATTATTATTATTATTATTATTATTATTATTATTATTATTATTATTATTATTATTATTATTATTATTATTATTATTATTATTATTATTATTATTATTATTATTATTATTATTATTATTATTATTATTATTATTATTATTATTATTATTATTATTATTATTATTATTATTATTATTATTATTATTATTATTATTATTATTATTATTATTATTATTATTATTATTATTATTATTATTATTATTATTATTATTATTATTATTATTCATATTAATAATAATAATAATAATATTATTATTATTATTATTATTATTCATATTAATAATAATAATAATAATATTATTATTATTATTAAATCTTATTAATTATAATAAAATATTATTATTATTATTTTTTTGAATCAAAATAATTTCATTAATCCAAATCCAATACACGACAAGGCGATCAAAGATCCAGCCAATAAAATATTATTATTAATAATGATCAAAATGAATTTGACTTAAATTTGTCATTGTGGCAATGACACGTCATCAACATCAGTGTCATATCACTAAAAAATGGTCTTAAATTAATTGGGGGACTAAAATTCAAAACAAAATTAAAAAAAAAAAAGATCAAAAATATGTTTTTTTAAATGTGGAGATCAAAACTCAAAAAAATACAAAATAGGAGAACCAAAGTTGGATTTAAGTCTTTTTTTTAAAATAACCATGTTTTTCTATAAAAAAATCTTAAATAAGCACTTTTAAAAAAAATAAAATAAAATAAACCACATTTCAAACAAAAGAGTCTGCTTCCAAGAGGATGCATCAATGCTTATGGCGCATGCCCTCATTTTTTAGCCTAAAGCGCCAATGTTGGCGCATACATGCAACCTTTAGGAGCATGCGTCATTGCCTGTGACTCCTATATTGTTTTGTTTTTTATATAGGTATTTTAACAACAAAATAATTATAAATAAAATATTTAATAAAAATATAAATTATCATATTGTTCCATCAAATAGAATTACACAATGATTAGAGAGAAATTTAATGACCCGCTCAATCGTAACATCCATCGGTTCCACATTCAAGCACATTCACTTGTCTTCAAGGTCTCCTACAATTTCCGGGAGGTACTTGGGATCTCCTAGTATTCATCTGAGGCAAAGGTGGTTGGTACGATGTTCCTGAAATATTAGTGTTATCTAACAAATCTTCGATTATATACTTCCAGTAGTCGACGTTGCCGTAATTGAGTTCGGTTCCCATGCTGTCGTAGTTTGATAGTGTTGGTTGTATTACATGTGGGCGTACTGGTTGGTTGAATAAGGATATCAAATCATTTTGGAAACGAACCAATGCTTCTTATTGTGTTTGAAAGGCATGTGTTGGTTGGGTGCTTTGCCGATGTGATTTTTGGATGCTTTGGTGGTGTGATGTTTGAGTGTTCATCAGTTGAGTGCTAAGGTGGGATTGGGTGAAATTATATATCACATCGGGTCTATAGTAAGATGTGGTGGCGACATATGATTGTTGATGGTATGAGTCATACTATTGATTTTGTGTTTGAGTGTTTGGCATGAATTGGTTGCAGGGTTGTGTGTATGTGGGTTCGTAATTATGTTTAATTGTTTATTGGGCGTATCTAGTATGGTGATGTTATGGGGTTGGTTGTTAGATTTTTGTGGGATGACAATGTTGTTGGGTTTGGTAATGCTGTGAGGTTAGTTGTTAGGCGTCTGATGACGAAGCTCGTTGTTGTAGGTCGATTAAATACCTCGGGTCAGACACAGATTGTGTCGTTGTAAATGACCTATACCAATTCATATAATTTCGAGTTGGTATAGCATTCTGCGTGATAGGTTCGTTTATGATTCGTTGATGTTGTGCTTCCATTGACGACACGTCCCCCTAACAAACTCTCTTCAATCAGAATAATTTTATTAGGCATCGACTCTTAGTTGATGCCATTGTCCTAAACACATCGAGGGGTCTTAAATTTATTGTTGCATGCCGAATTGCAGTTTGACACGGTCACTCTGATGCATCTCTACAGTAGTGAACTTGATGATTTCTGTTTTTACAGTCCAAACTATAACATCCTCAGGATTAATCTCATGGTCGAGATCCAGATACGACCTCCAGATAAACTTAGTGAAAAAATATATGATTAGAAGATTTGTAAATTGGTAAAACAAAAATTAAATTAACGAGATGATAGTTATTTAGTTGTAATATATCGTCTAGTCTAAAGTGATCTATAAGATTTTGATAGACGATTATAGTGCATTTCTCTAAAATATAAATAATGAATTTTATCATTATTAATTTTTAAATAATTTTTTTATTTATCTTTTTTTAAATCCAAAAGTGGGGGATAAGAAATGGAAAGAAAAGTTTGAGAAGATATAAATTTTAATTAATTTGTACAAGATATAAATAATTTACACTGATTTTAGTGAAATAGTTAAATATTTTTAAAAGTGGCTTGATTAAAAAAATAGTATAAACTTTTATTAGTATCATTATTAAATTGGTTTACATCTGTGCATATCCTTTAATTCAACTTTAATTGAAAGATAAAAGCTACCACATAATATTTAGTTGAGCGCTTTCTTTTGATAGATTCTTTATTTTCGGTTTATTCTTGAAAAATATAACATTTTCATTAAAGTTTATATGAATATAACAAGACAATAAAATACAGAAATATAAAGTAAAATTATTGAATTTGGAGGAAAGTGTGTGGTGTAGATAAAGATCAATAAACACCTTTTCCTTTAATAGTCCAATTCCTAAGTGGGGAAAAAGGGAAAAAAAGGAAAAACAAAATAAGATAAAGAAAAGACAGATGTATTGGTTTTGTTCCAAAGATAAATGCTAGTAGTATCTTTGTGCTTATTTAAATTTAAATAACATACTTTCTTCTGAATCTGATTTTCTACCGCTAATTTTAGCTAAATGTGAAAGTGCATTCGAATCTTATACCACACTTTCTTACAACACCCTACCAACATCCATCTAATAATGTTCAAAATTTCTGTGTTGTTTTGTAATCTCCTCATTTGCTTATAATCTCTTCTCTTCAAATCACATCTAAGGATATCATTCGACATTGAATTTGACATTGATTTTTTCCACAACGGTTTTTGATATTACAAAAATTAATTTACAGACAAATGTAGAAGATGTAGCTGCAATTATTATTATGACGAAGTGTTACATAGTTTCAAAAACCTTGAGAATGCAGTTAGGATTGCAACAATAATTTGATTTAATATTGTTTCTTCTTAATTTTCTGTTCTCTACTTTCGATTATAAGTTTGTCTTTTATAATGCATGATTATATTCTTTTTGATGATCTGTTTGACAGAGTATTTTAAGTTTTGTTGTATTTAACGTTAGTTGGTCTTCTTGTCTATTTCGGAAAATAACAAGTATAAGACGTGTTCATGTGACATGTACGTGGTATCAAATGTTGACCGGAATTGTAGGAGAAGGAAAGTGTAATCATCACACAAAAATGTATTGTAATTATCCAAGAGCATACAATAAATAAAATAAACAAAAATTCAAAAACATTAAAAACTATTCCTTGTGTTCTTGTTTAAGTTTCGTTTTATTTTTTTATATACTTTTTTATTTATTTTTTAACGATCCTAATCAAAATTTAAATTAGTATTAATTGCAGTTATGTCAAAATTATTTATAGTTATTTATTATAAAGATAAAAAATTAAATAAATTAATAATGATGTGGTTAATGTCACCATCTTTGTGGTTAATTATTTGGGCAGAATTGATCACCAAAGTCACCGATCACCTCAAGTTTGAATTTAACATGGAAGAGACC